TCGCGGGCCGCCGACTGGGGGCGCTGCACCAATTCGCACGCGGGGCCCTCTCCGCCGTCGCGCGACCACCCGCCGCCGCGGCGCTCGACTGGGCCCGCGCCGTCGCGTGCGGGCGACGCGGGCCGCGGCGGCGCACGGCGGCCGTTAGCGACCAGACGGGGCAGGGCAAGCTCGCCCTGCCCCTCCGGCTCCGGCGCGCTGTCGTCGGGCAGGCATTGGCGGCGTGACATCGACATGACTGGCGGTGTGGCATCGAAAGGGTTGGCGCGCGCAGGATTGGGAACAAACTTCAGGGCGTCGCCGCCGTGCTCCGCGCACCTCCTCGCTGCCTCCCGCAGCGACGCAAGCAAGGTCTCAGGAGAGCGCCAGATCCCCCCGGCCCACGGAATCGCTGGACGTCAGCGCGGACCGTCTCCTCGACCCTCCCGTCGACGCCCACCTCTACCAACATGTCGACGGCCTCCTTTATATCGACGCCCCTCTTGTCTTCCATGGCCACCCCCTTCTCGTCCCCCTCGCCACCCCCATCCCTTGATTCATAGATCACATACGATACGTGGCAAACCTGATAAACAGCAGCGAGGGCACAGAGCAAATTGACCATTCTCCCGTTGGCCAGGTCAACAGGCGGCGCAGGGCAAGCTCACCCTACACCTCTGCGTCTGCGACGCTGTCGTCGGGCAGCGATTGGCGGCGCAACATCAAGAAGACTGGCGGGGTAGCATCGAACGAATTGGCGCGCGCAGGATGGGGGGCAAGCTCCAGGGCGTCGCAGCCCCACTCCAGCACCTCCGCGCTGCCGTCGGCCGCGGCGCCTGCAGGACCCACGGAACGCACCGGACCCCCCCGCCGCCTGGAATCGCTGGACGCCAGCGCCGCGCGGACCGCCTCCTCGAAACAGCCCCTATCGACGCCAGCCTCCGCGAACGCGCGGGCGCCCTCCTTCATCCCTACGCCCCTCATCATCCACGGCCACCTCCTGGTCGTCCTCCTTGCCGCCCCCATCGCGCGAGTCGCCAAACTCCTCATTGACCTCATCCACCCCGCCCCCCGCCCTCCACCTCGTCGCCGACGCCCCCGCGCACCCCCGCGCACCCCTCGACCGCGCCGCAACTGCCAGGGCAGGCAGACACTGCCGGCAGCAAGAGATGATGGGTCGGGGATGCCGCGGCAGACGATTGGTCGGGGACGCTACCCGCGCAGTGATCGGAGCGCTGCAACACATGATGGGTCGGGGATGCTCGGGCTCCAGCAGCAGACCCGGCGCGTCGCTGAGCAGCGACAGGGCCAACGGCCGCTGCCTCTGCCCGTTCACCTCGCACATGCTGAACGAGGCGCAGTCGCGGATAAAGGCGGTCTCCAGCATCGCCCCAAGCATCCCGGCGAGCGGCAGAGCCGGCCGCTGCTGTCCCTGCCCGCCTGCCTCGCGCGCGTTGATCAGGACGCTGCAGCGGGAGATGGTAGGCCCCAGCTCCGCAACCAGCATCTCGCCGCGCGCGTTCGTTCCGCGCGCGCTGATAAGGGCGACGTAGCAGACGACGGCGGGCTCCAGCTTCACCGCCAACATCCCGCTGAGAAACGCCAGGGCCGGCTGCCCCTGCCCCTACCCGCGCTTCTCGCACGCGCTGATCGGGGCGCAGGAGTCAGCACGTTCCGGCACCACTTAAAACAACTTTCGGAACAGCCCCAGGGTCGGATGCCAATGCCCCTACCCGTTCTCCTCGCACGCGCTGATCGGGGCGCCGCGGCAAACGGAGATGATGGCGGGCCCCCGTTCCGCTCGGCCGCGCTCGCGCGCGCTAATCGGAGCCCTGTAGCAGACGACGAAGCCAGGCTCCAGTGCCACCCCCAGCATCTCGTTGAGCGGCGCCAGAGCCGGCTGCCACAGCCCGCGCCCGCCCTTCTCGCGCACGCCGATCGGGGCGCCGTAGCGGACAATGGCGGGCCCCATCTTCCCAACCAGCATCTCGCAGCGCGCGCTCGTTCCGCGCGCGCTGATCAGGGCGACGCAGCAGATGGCGGCGGGCTCCAGCTTCACCCCCAGCATCTCGCTGAGAAACGCCAGGGCCGGCTGCCCCTGCCCCTGCCCGCGCATCTCGCACGCGCTGATCGGGGCGCAGACGTAAAAATCAATGAGCTCCGGCATCAATCAAAACATCTCTCGGAGCAGCGCCAGGACCCCACGCCAATGCCCCTGCCCGTTCTTCTCGCGCGCGATAAGCGGGGCGCCGTAGCAAACGGAGCCGACGGCGGGCCCCGGCTTCGCTCGCCGCATCTCTCGGAGTAGCGACAGGATCGGACGCCGCTGCAACTGCCAGTCGTTCTCGCACGCGCTAATCGGAGCGCTGTAGCGGACGACGATGGTGGGCTCAAGCTTCGGCCCCAGCATCGCGTTGAGCAGCGCCAGGACTGGTTGCCACTGCCCCTGCCAGTCCGTCTCGCACGCGCTGGCCGGGACGCTGGAGTAGAGGTTGATGGCGGGCTCACGCTTCACCCCCAGCGCCTCTCGGAGGAACGCCATGATCAGCCGCCGCTGCTCCTGCCAGCCCCTCTCGCACGCGCTGATCGGGGCGCTGTAGCAGATGATGGCGGCCTCCAGCTTCACGCCCACCACGTCGCTGAGCAGCGCCAGGGCCGGCCGCCACTGCCAACCCTGCACGCGCGCAGTTTGGGGCCCCTGCGCCGCTGAAGGCGGGTTCCGGCATCGCCCCCGACAAATCTCGGGGCAGCGCAAGGGCCAGCTGCCTCTGTCCCTGTCAGCCCCTCTCGCACACAGTGGCCGGAGCGCTGGAGCGGCTGATGGTTGGCTCCAGAATCACTCCCAACATATTTTGGAGCAGCGCAAGGGCCAGCTGCCACTGCTCCTGCCAGTACTTCTCGCACGCATTGGTCGGGGTGGCGCTGCTGGAGTTCGTCGCGGTGCTCGCGGTCGCGTTGCTGCCCACGACGGCGCTACTGAAGTCCGTCACGCTACACAGGGTTATGCTGGTAGGGTCCCTGGCGCTGCTCACGTCCGCCCTGCTGGAGTCCGCCATGATGCTCAAGATGCGCCAGGCCAAGTGGCGCGCTCGGCCAGGCCGCCGCGCGGGTCGCAGCTGCAACCACCTGGGCGAAGGCAGCCGTTGCCGCCCAGAGCCTGGCAGCGGCCGCCGCAGCGCACGCGGCGCCAACAACGCCAGCGGCACCCGCAGCGCCCGCAGCGCCCGCGGCGCCCGCGGCGCCCGCGGCGCCAGCGGCGCCTGCGGCGCCCTACAGACAGCAACACTAGTGACAACGAGACACTTCGGAGGCAGCGCCACGCAAAATCACGCGCCACGCGTCTTCGCGCGCAGCGGCGCGGCGTAGAAAGGTTGCACACACAGACACACACACACACACGGAGGAACCTCCAGCGCGGTCGGCACATGGAGGTGCCAATTGCGAGCAAACTTGGTCGAACGTACCGTGATGAAAAGATCCAGCCACAGCCATGCACATTGGTGGCGGTGGTAAAAAAGATGAGGCACTGTAAAGCCAAAGGAAAGCGCACACACACACACACACACACACTAATAATAATAATATTTATATCTAATAATAAGAATAAGAATAATAATAATATAATGATAATGAATATAAAAAACTATCAAACAAACAAACAAACAAACAAACAAACACACACACACACAAACACACACACACACACAAACAAACACACAAAAAAACAAAGCAAGACAAAAAGACTGACTGGCCCAAAAAGACGTCACTGAAGACTGGGAAACTGTGAAAGCAAAGGGCAACCGTGAAAAGCATTGCAAAGAGGGTACGAAGAGAGCAACTCACTTTGCCCAGCCGCTGGAAGCGTCGGGGGGAGAGCCAACGTTTACTCGCAGCACCTCGACAGGATTACAACTGATGGCATGTGGTCGATCCGAAATACGCATTCACAATACGCGTCAAAACATGTCGGCGTGACGCGACGCATCACCAGGAGCAAGGTCGTGCCCATCACGCCTTGCGCGTGAGTTCTGCCATCGTTGACGGTGGCAAGATGCCGACTCAAAAGCGCTGCTAGAAAGTAACTCTGATCAGTGCAACGTGTGCGTATGCGCCAAAATACTGCGAACGCCCATGCGGGTCGCAACTCGCAGAAATATAGCTCGGCAGATTTACTTGAACGGCTTTTGAACGGCGCTGCAAACACGGCCTGGGCCCTGACACGGGACCACCGTAGAGAGAGAGAGAGAGACAGACAAAAACAGTATAACAACAGCAAAAACAAAAAACTGCCGCTGCGGCGAGGGCAGAGCAGAGCTTCGGCCACCTTCGAAAGCATGGCTCACACGCCACAGAGGCCAACGCGGAGATCCAAAAGTCATAGAGAAACGGCGCCGAGGCCCGAGTAGCCCCTGGGAGGCTCAAGGAATCCCCAGGAAGTCCCAGGAAGCCCAAGCAGGCCCCAGGAGACCCCAGGAAACTCCAAGAGGCTCCAGCGAGGAACCACCATACTTCAGGAGGTCCCAGGAAGACCCCATACATCATGGTCACATGATTGAACCCGACGATAATTTCAGTCTGCCGTGCACGAAAAATACGCAGGAGCGAACGATGGAACCCGATCAGAACCAGTGGAGCAGATACGCTACCGCAGAACCTAGCTCAGAAACGCCAAGTAGATGCGCCAAATAAGTTTGATTTTGCTGGACTGGATAAGGTGTGAGTCAGCTGTGTCCTTAAAACATGCTGGGCTACGCACCTGGGGAGCTACATTGAATAGGAGTGGTACGACACTTTACTCATGCGAGGTCTTCAACCATGTCCTGCTTCACCAACATTAACGTCAACACTCACTTCAACTACCTAGTGACTTACGTACCTGTACAATCGAACATGAAACAGCTCAATGCCACATCAATTCGATCGAGTGCCAAACACGGAAGAGACACACCAATTGTTTGTCAAACTGTAAAATAATGCCATGAGAAATATGACGATACTGAGCACGCAGATTGTAGCAAGACCTCCCGGTCGTCCCGAAGCGCTTTGGAAGCATACTCGAGGGCACGCCAGTCCTCGCAAACTGCAAAACCATGGAAACGCACAGCCCTCTTCAAGCATAATCAAAACGCACGCCTTTGGTCCCCTACATAATCGGTGCGCTGATAAAAAAAAAACACCTCCAAGTATTCGAAATCAGGGCTGCAATGGATACGGAGACGCAACAACAATGGCCTTCCACTTGATGCCATGCTGCGTTCAGACACACGCACGGAGCGCTCACTGTCCCTCATCGTGCCCCCCTTTCGAATGAAAATTCCCGACCTGTCTCCTCACATTGCTATTGTCATTCCGTCGCCTCCCTCTGTGCGCAAATATGGAAAAGACTGCTGGACTGCTGCCGCGACCCATTTGTGTTGTCTTTGGTTTTGTCTCTTCTGTACTGGGCAAGAGAGGACAGAGAGACACTACGTGACGCTACCAAGCACTTCCAAGAGGAAGCCGGCTCTACAATCAAGAGGATATCGTTCTTCATGAGATGTCAACGAGCATGTCAATATTTCGGGGGAGATGTCTTGGTTCTTTGAAGCCTCCAAATAGTTGGATGCTCGTTCTGGGGACCTTCCTGGAGCCACTCGCTCCACTCGTGCGTCGAAGCTACGTCGAACGTCAGTCGAGTTGGGTCGACCCTGAGTCGAACCTGAGTCGAACCTGAGCCGAACTTGAGTCGAACTTGAGTCGAACTTGAGTCGAACTGGGGTCGAACAGATCCGTTAGGTGGGCTCCAGGAAGGTCCCCGAAACGAGCATCGAAAAATAGGGTCGGAGCAGCTGGGGCCTGAGGACCGCGCCGCATCACCGATGCATCCGCGACGTCAGAGTGGAGAAGATCGGGCTCCACGTCGCGCCGCATGGCCGATGCCACTCACACAACTACCCGAACCCTGACACCCCAACCCGGGCGCCCTACCCCGACCCCCCCACCAGCTAACCCTACCGCCCCAACGGAAGGGGCCACAGGACGCACAAAGAAATACACACAAATAGAAGGATTCCCCATATTTTCCAATACTTTCTGGGATTCTGTCCTCGCCCCCACTTCCCATATTTTCCCATAGTTTCCTGGGGGTCGACGATTAATTGTGTCTGTGTGTTTTTGTTCCCTCCTGACCTACCCCGACCCCCCCACCAGCTAACCCTACCGCCCCAACCAGAGCCCTTCCCCGTTCACACAAACAAATCAACACAACGAGACCCTCGGCGCAGTCTCCAGCGCTCCGGCGGCGGGGAGGGCCCCCCCTCCTCCTGCCACCCCTGTCCTGCGCAGAGGGGGCAGGGGGGGGGGGCTCAAAAATCTCGCCCACCCCTCTCCAGAGCCAAGATGGGAGGGGGGGGGGGGCCGAAACCCCCACCCCCCCTTCGGGGGTCCGAGATGCACCCCCACCCCCCCTTCGGGGGTCCGACTGCGCGAAGAGGGGAGGGGGGGGTTCTGCCAGTACCCCCCCCCTTTCAATCACAGGGGTATCTGCTGGCGCTCTCTCAGAAAGACCCCCACGGCAGCCGGCCTGTCCGCGGCAACATCAAGACGGCGCCGCACAGCGAGCCACCCCAGCGCAGAGCCCCGCGCCGCGGGGGGCGCGAGCGCCTGCTCCGTCTGCGCCCGTCGTCGCAGTCTCCAGAGAAGCCCTGTCCAGGAGCCGCGCCGCGCGACGGACAAGTCACCCCCGACGCACCGGGCCACTCCCGCTGGCAGATCCGTCTGGGTCCCACAGGATGCAACCCTGCGCGGCAGCGAACGGCCTCCGCCACCCGTGGGTCGTCTTCCCCTGGAAGCGCCACTACAGTGGATGCGACGAATTATAAGAAAAACACACACAGTGTGTGTATGTGTGTGTGTGTGTTTTCCCACTGTGTGTTTTTTATTTGTTTTTGTGTTTTTATTCCCATGAGTGGGGCACCGCCCGCGGGGCCGTGCCAGGGAGAGGCCCCCGCGCCAGCCGCTCATCGCCCCCCTCCTGGCTCTGTCGGGCGCCACCGCCCAAGGCGACTTCGCAGGGCCACCATGCGCAGTCGGCGTCTGGAGAGGGTGAACATGCCACCACCTGTCCTGGGGTGATGGACAACAAAACTGATGCCATGCGGCAACCACTCCCACGCAGGAGACCCTTGGTGCGGGAACCCACCCGGGGCCCGCCGGCAGCCACCCCCCGCGTGCCCGTTCCCCTTGGAGTCGTAGCTCTGGGCGCCCTGACTCGCAAAGCCGCCCGGCAACGGGGCATCGCCGGACGTGCCCCGCACCTGTTTCCGCGCAGCGTGCCGTTGCGGGACGCGCCGAACCACGGAGGCGTCTTGGGTCAGCGTTGAATGGCATGCACGAAGCGCATGCAATATGCACGCGCCCCCACGCGCTCTCGACGACCGATGATCTGCACAAGAGATGCTCTCCTGCGCCAAGGTCAACTGAGTGATGAGGCCGGCAAGGACCTCCCTTGCACCTTCGGTGGGCGTGACTGGTGGCGCACCAATGCCAACGATCGGAGGTGAGGGGGTGAGATCGAAGTGGAACGGAGAGCCCCCCTACTGGGAAATCGATTTCGGTTTCGTGTTCGTGCGTGCCGTGCGTGCGGGCGAGGTGAAGCTGCGTGGGCGGGCGAGAGAAAGTCTCCTGTGGCTGAGGCGCGGCCGGACCAAATGACTCGAGATCCCTTCCGGGCGGCCGGGGGCCCGCGGTGTCCCGCCGGTGTCCCGCTGGTGTCCCGTGTGGCTGAGGCGCGGCCGGACCCAATGTCTCCCTTCCGGGCGGCCGGGGGCCCGCGGTGTCCCGCCGGTGCCCCGTCGGTGTCCCGATTATGGTGATGGTATTGATGATGATGATGATGATGATGATGATGATGATAATGATGATGATGATGATGATGATGATGATGGTGATGATGATGATGACGATGTTGATGTTTTGTTTTGATGATCGATAGTGAGATCGGTAGTGATATCGATGGTGAGATCGAACGTGAGATCGAATGTCAGATCGCTTGTGAGATCGATTGTGAGATCGATTGTGATACCGAATGTGAGATCGATAATGAGATCGATAGTGAGATCGATTGTGAGACCGAACGGGATATCGATTGTGAGATCGATTGTGATATCGATAGTGAGATCGATAGTGAGACCGAATGTGAGATCGATTGTGGAATCTATTGTGAGATCGATAGTCAGATCGATTGTGAGATCGATCGATTGAGTTAGTAGTGAGATCCGCCGACCCCTTGGGTCATCGGCGTGTGAGATGCTTCCCCCTCCCCAAACCCCTCCCCCGGGAACCCGGTCCGGTCGATTTGGAGGGGGGGGGGTGCCCACCACGAGCGACTCACGACGCTCTTCCGGGCCCAAAAGGGCCCAAATACGGGCCAAGAAGGCCCCAAGAGGCCTCCCAGACGTTCCAAGAGGCCCCCAGACGCCCCAAGAGACCGCCTAGACGCCCTAAGAAGCGCCCAAGAGGCCCCAAGAGGCTTCCAAGACGCCCCACGAGGGCTCCAAGACGCCCCACGAGGGCTCCAAGACGCCCGAAGAGACCTCCAAGAGGCCCCCGAGAAGCGCCCCAAGAGGCCAAAATCGTTGATGTTCATTGTTTTTCTCTATGTTTTCGTCATTTTCGCCTTTTCGGCCTTCCGACGCTCCAAGACAGCCCAAGAAGCTCCCAAGACTGCTCCAAGACGGCACAAGAGGCCTCCACGACGCCCCCAAGACGGCCCAAGAGAGCCCCCAGACGGCCCAAGAGCCGCCCAAGGCGGCCCAAGAGAGCCCCCAGACGGCCCAAGAGCCGCCCAAGACGGCCCAAGCACCTCCCGGAGACGGGCCCAAGAGGGGCTCCAGAGAGAGACCACGCACCGGAAAACCCAGCCTTACGCCCCAAGAGGCCCCCACGAGCGCGTCACGGGGCTTTTCCGGGCCCAAGAGGGCCCAAAGACGGGCCAAGAAGGCCCCAAGAAGCCTCCCAGACACCCCACGAGGGCCCCGAGACGCCGAAAAATCGTTCGAAGACGCTCAAAATGGCCTCCAGACGCCCCAAGATGCGCCCAAGACGCCCCAAGAGGCTTCCAAGAGGCCTCCCAAGAGGCCCCAAAAGGCGAGAATCGTTGATTCTCATTGGTTTTTTCAATGTTTTTGGCTTTCTCACCTTTTCGGGCTTCCGACCCTCGAAGACGGCCCAAGAGGCCCCCAAGACCGCCCCAAGACGGCCAAAGAGGCCTCCAAGACGGCCCAAGCAGGCCCAAGACGGCCCAAGAGGACCCCAAGACGGCCCAAAAGAGCCTCAAGACATCCCAAGAAGGCCCCAAGAGAGCCCCAAGGCCAGCCCAAGAGGGGCCCAAGAGGGAGACCACGAAGCGAAAAAAACAGCTTTCCGCCCCAAAAGGCCCCCAGGAGGCCCCAAGAGACCCCCAAGAGGCCCCAAGAGGCCCCCAAGAGGCCCCAAAAAGGCCACAATAACCCCAAAACAGCTCCCCAGGTGCCTCCAAACTGCCTCCAGCAGGCCCACGAGAGGCTTCTCACGAGATCCCAACGAATATCTGAGAGGCCTCTGAACCACAACTGAGGCACGGTGGCGGGATGGGCCGACTACTGGGAGGAGACGCAAAGACGACGACGATAGGAATGCGGGGGATCAAGTCGGGCCATGACGCCCCCAAGACGTCCAAGATTGCCTCCAAAAAAAAACAAGGGGTCGGCGGTGTGGCGTAAGCCTAAAGAATCACTATCGGTAATGAGATCGGTAGTGATTTCGATAGTGAGATCGATGATGAGACCGAATGTGAGATCGATTGTGAGTTCGGTTGTGATATCGATAGTGAGATCGATAGTGAGATCGATAATGAGATCGAAAATGAGTTCGATAGAGAGATCGATAGTGAGGCCGAATGCGAGATCGATTGTGATATCGATTGTGATATCGATAGTGAGATCGATAGTGAGACCGAATGTGAGATCGATAATGAGATCGATAGTGAGTTTGATAGTGAGATCGATAGTCAGATCGAATGCGAGATCGATTGTGATATCGATTGTGAGATCAATAGCGAGACCGAATGTAAGATCGATTGTTGGATCGATGGTGAGATTGATTGTGAGATCGATAGTCAGATCGATTGTGAGATCTATCGATTGAGATCGATTGTGAGATCGGTAGTGAGTTCGATAGTGAGATCAATCGAGTGCGACGTTGGTCCCTCCCCCCCCTCACCTCCTTATCACCCGAAGGGTGGTCTATGCGGTATGTCTGTATACTACCTGATGCGCAGAGTGCGCCAGGAGGTAGGCGTGGCGTTGCCTGTTCACTGAGCAGGCATTCCCCAAATGGACCCCGACATTCCCTTGGGCACATCAGCTTCCAGGCCAGCGCCACTGCGGGGCACCAGGCCCAAAGGCGCCGCGCGCCTGCTACTCCATGTCCACGAGGGACAAGGCTCGACTGGTGAAAAGACCGGGATAGGTCCAACATTCTGCTGCGTTGCTATGCGTTTCGCCCCCGCCTCGGCACGCAGCCGCCCGGGGGGGGGGGGCCACGCTGGCGAGGAGGGCCCGTTCGCCCGTGCCCCGGCGCCACGGTCCGAGACACCCGCCACACCAGGAGTGGCCAGTTGCATCGGAGGCTGCAGGGCCCCAGGCGTGGATCGCCCGCCCATGGCACCTTACGAAGTCGCGTGGGATGCGGCGGACGCGGTCACGTTGAGATCGTCTCCGCTAAAGTTGTAGAACAGATTGGTAATGTGTCCAACCTAGCGACCGAAGCCGATGGGTGGGGTGGACAACAGCGGACCGGCGACGCAGGGGAACGGGATGGGTGGGAGACGCCGCGCGGCAGCGACAACCGCAGCGCGTATAGGCTGCGTCACAAGCCATGCCAGATAGTGCAAGCACCACCGTGTAGTGCGAGAGTATCCTCGGGCGTGACACATGCCACCAACAGGGTCAAGAGACCGTGCCGCTGTACGGGCACGCGAACGCGGCGAGTTGGCCACTCAGCCAGACAACCGCCGTCGCAACCAAAAGAGAAGAGGAGAAGGAGGAGGCGACAACAAGAGGCGCGAGGCCGCGCAGCCGTGCTAGCACGACAAGACAACCATGGGCGACGTATCCACCCAAAGCGCACTCACACAGCGACTATCCGCCAGGATAGTCGGCCAGCCAAACGCCAGCAAGGAGTGGCGCACCAGTATTCGCCGCAGCCCTCCAGCGAGAGTGCCCACGAGGGGTTACAGCATCCCCGCGCCCCACGAACACGAACCCCATCCCCAGGCCCCCCGCAGCGCGGCCGGAGGGCCCAAAAAGAAGGCGGGAGACACCGCCTCCTGCGGTGGGGGGGGGGCAAGGCACGCACGCACGCACGCACACAACGCACGCGCGCACACGCGGCTCCGCGACACGTGCAGCAATGCTCACAGCCACCAGCCCCGTTGGAGAGCGAGGCGCGCATGCAATGCTACCCCCCGCCGCATCCCTGACACCTCCCGATGGGCCGGGAAGCCGCCTCGCGGGAAGCTCGCCCGCCGGGTGAACAAGCTCATCCAGGGCACGGGGGAGGAGAAGGAGAAGTGAGGGACCATAGGCAGTCCGAGGCAGCGCCCTTTCCCTCGAGGTCCCACGCCTCACAGGGGCCGTGACTTTGGGGGGGTGCTTACCGCCCCGTCGCGTCCAGTCGGCTGGGGAGCACCACGTATCTCGTTTAAGATACGGCAGAGACAGAGCAAATATACAATCCAAGTAAGCATGCTTCTCCGATATCTCGATCCCAACAAAAAACACCTCCCGACCTCCGATTCATACGTTTGGAGCCCACAAAGCTTAGTGCCGCTACAGCACCCAAATAGTCCGCTCCAGCATCCAGTTCTTGCGAGTGGTAACGCTCCAGCAGCCCACAGCATGCGCTCCAGCATCCACTTCTTACTAGGGGCAACGTTGCAGCAGCCCACGGCGCGCATTCCAGCACTGCGTTTCTACCGAGCGCGAGCGCTCCAGCAGCCCACGCCATGCGCTTCATCAACGGTGGCGCTGTCATTGCCGACAATCCTACACCAGCGCACCGCCTCGGGATCTTCCCCGGGTGCGACTCCAGGCGCCGCCAGCGGGAGGGCTTCCGCCCCGCGTCGGCTAACCTGGTTTGGGGTACGGGTCAGCCAGCAAGCCAATCCTACCTGTCCCGCTGGAGGTTTTACGCCCTGACTCGCCGACGAAGGTCGGCCAGGTTCCAGTGGGGGGTTCACCAAAAACGACAATGTACACTGCACCTCTCCACTCCGCCTCTGGTCCCAATCGTCGACGGTGCTCGTTCAATGCTGCAACGTAAACATTTTGGCCCGAAGAGCCCCTAGGAGGCGAGACGCGTAGTATCTGTTCGTGCGTTGGCAGGACTGGGTTTAGTGGAACCTGGTTTAGTGATGCGTACCGGGGGACGACCCCCCGCCCCATCCTACTAAGCGGAACTACGGTCACCCGACAAGACACCAGCTACGGCAAACTTGGTTTGGTGATTGTGACGAATTGCTTGGGCTTTGGGGCCCAGCCACCACCAGGTTGCCCTCACCCAGGGTCCTGGTTACGTCCGCTCTATTTCTCTTCGCGTGAGATGCGATCGAAATGAAATGTTGACCATTTGGAATCCCGAAACGGTGCGGTGACAGACCGTGCGGTGACCTCGACATCCCCCAAGACCTCACCGCACGGTCCGTCACCGCACGGCCTTGGGACCCCGGAGGCCCCCGTCGCCCGAGACATCCACGGAGAACGACCCGTGGCGCTCGAGCTACCGAGCTGCTGCACGGCTGGGCTCGAGCAGCACCTCCCGGGCCGACCATCTCACGGCCCCCGCTCACGAGGAGGAGCGGCGATAGTCTGGACAGCCCGAAGTGGGCACGGGAAGGATGGGAACGGTGCCTAACAGCAGAAGCTGTCCCAAACCAGCAGCGGCCGCTGTTGGGCAGGCGGCCTCCCGTCTCGCATGGACTCAGGCCGCGGCGGCGCGGACAGCGAACCCTGTTCAAGATGAACAGGAGCTGCTGTTGGGCATTGTACCTTGTGCCTCCTCCTCCTCCTCCTCCTCCTCCTCCTCCTCCTGCTCCTGCTCCTGCTCCTCCTGCCTCCTCCTCCTCCTCCTCCTCCTCCTCCTCCTCCTCCTCCTCCTCCTCCTCCTCCTCCTCCTCCTCCTCCTCCTCCTCCTCCTCCTCCTCCTCCTCCATTATTTCCGTGCCCATGTCGTTCGTGCAGGGCGAGAGGGCGGCAGCCGCAGGGCCAGGAAGCCTCGCCCCTGGAATCGGCGAGGCGTCGCCGATGGATCGGCGGCGGGCCGCCGATAGCAGAAGGGACACGTTCCCGGACTGGGCGGGCTGTCGGGCCCCTGTCGCCGATCAGTGGACCATAGGTGGGGTCGATGCATGCCCCCCTGAGTCCATCCCCCCTGTCGTTACCCCTGATATTGAAGGGGAACTGGGACACACAAATAAATAGGCACAAATAAAAGGATTCCCCATATCTTCCTACATTTCCTGGGTTTTTGTCTTCCCCCCCCCACTTCCCATATTTTCCTATATTTTCTGGGGAATCGAGGATAAATTGTGTCTGTGTGTGTTTTTCCTCCTGAGATATGAGGTGGCGACGTGGCCACAAGCACATCACCAGGGGCTACGTCTGGGGTGGGCAAAGGCTCGAGGTTCGAGGTCTCCGGCCGCTGAGATGCTGCACGGCTGGTCGAGCATCTCAGCCCCCTCACCCTCACTCCTGGCAGAAGCAGACGCAGGAGGACGGAAAAGAGAAGAGACAAACGGGGAGAGGACCCGCGCCAGGACACCCCCACGAGACCCCAAGGGACAGAGGGGGACTGGCAGTACCACACCAGAAGCAAATGCATGCGCCAAATGCGGAGATTGTCGCAGACCCACCGAGCACGAAGTTCGGTCGAGCGGCAGCGAAGGGTGAACAAACACCGTGGGCGTTTTTGTTATCAATGTCATTCCTCCATTATTTGGTCCGCTTGCCTTGTAAACTGTTCAAAACGAATCGAAATGTTGTGGGCAGGTAATCACCACAGCCGTGAGCAAAGGAACAGGAAGGTTCATCCATCACGGGGATGTCGCACCGAATTCACACCCAGCTACGAGTTGCAAACAGAAAATCCTGGAGATACGCCAGACGAAAGATCGAGATCTCTGGGAGTCTCTGGGGATCTCCACGAGCCTCCTGAGCCCCGAACAAGCACGAAACACATCCAAAAATTCTACCCCCTCGATCCCTAGATCCTCTCAACTGCTACCCTCACCGTAGGCGTCTCTCAAGCGTCCTGTCGGACCGCGCACCACACGGTTGGGCGTTCCTCCTGCAGCTCCCTCGGGGCGAATTCGAGCTCGCGCCAGTCCTGCACCGCGCAGGCTGGCGGGGCGTTCGCTCACTGCCCCGCGCCGTGAACTTTTCAATCCACGCGTCATCGAGGAGCCTTGACGATCAAGGTGCGCGGCTTTTCAATATTTCTGTACTTGTTTCCGCCTCCTGAGGCGCCTCATCGCCGCGAACGGATTCGCCCCCAAAGTCGAACCAGAACGCACCCGCGGAGAGTTCCATAGTGGGCTAGACAAGCATCGGACACATTGACATCTTCAACACAGGCGTTTTCGAATGCATTTCGAAATCCAGTGGACGCTGTCGGGACCCAGAGCCATCCAAATCAGAAGCGCGAACAAAACGAAATCCTGGGAGATGTCGAGACTTGAAGGGACTTGCGGAGCGAACGAAAACATGACGCGCAACTATGGGTCCACTTCGCCCCCCACCCGCTTCCTATGATGAGCATAATCGCGCAAACAAGCAAGGGAGCAGATCGCACGCGAGGAAGCCATCACAAAAGCGGCGGGTATCTTTCACAAGTGGGATACAGAGCCCCAATAATCATATATGTCTGTGTATGCACTACAACCACGCGCGCGTTTCGCGCGCTTCGGTTGCAGCAAGGCGAATACACAGAATGTGCAGTAGGCGCAAGAGAATCGAGGGTGTACTGACGGGTCACTGAGGACGGGAAACCATGAGAAATGAGGACACACAAAGACAACCACAGGAGTGAAGGAGCGAAAAACGCAAGAAAAAAGGAACAACAAGGACATCAGCCTCCGAGAAGCCGCTTGGGGAATCTCTTGGACCAATAGCGTCTTGGAGGCCTCTTGGGCCGTCTTGGTGCCAGACAAAACCGTATGGGAGTTCTCCCGGGCAGTCTCGGACCGTTGTGGACCGCCCAGATGGCGTCCTGGAGCCAGGCGTGGGCGGTCCTGGGAGCATCCGGGCGCCTCGGGGGCTCCTGGACCACACAGACACTCGGCAAGCAGGGTCCCCACATGGATACATTTGTTCTTCCGAGAGCCGTGTTTTTTCAGCGGCCAGACCAAAGACTTGTTCTGTGTGCAGGCTGGTGCCCGAAGCTCTAGGCAAGGAGTCGCATCAGTCCCCAGCAGCGGTGCTGGGAGAGGCCGGCACAACACCACAAAATCGGAGGCTCCGAAAAAAATATCTGGAGACCCAACTTGAAGACAGGAGGCCACTACAGACATCACCCCCCGAAACACATGATTGCGATACGCATTGAGAAACGCACGAGCGATACACACACACACACACACACACACACACACACACACACACACACACACACACACACATCTTACACACACACACACACACATCTGACTAGGGCACGGTTCGGCAACGGAAGTCAAGAACCGGCCGGCGCTATCTTTACCAGCCAACTCGGTGTGAGGTCTAGCTGAAAAGGAACACTCCCCCCTGCCACAACACTCGAAAGGCAGAAGGCAGGAGAGGTCAGCGCTAGCATAAAGGACTGCCAAACGTTTGCGCCACGGGGTTCCGAAGGCGCAGAAGTCGTTGGTGAGGCGCTGAACCTGAGGACGTTTTCCAACCCTGAAGGCCACAGGTTGCTTCCACAACCTGGAGGACACCGCGATATCCGGGCCAACAGGAATCCCAAGGGACAGCGCCAAATCAAAAAGGCTAAAACTGAAGGCGCACGACGCATTGCCTTACAATACTTTGAGGGCGTCACTAGGCGACAGATCAGGCAAACCATCAGGGTGCTCGCTGTTTCTCACGGGCGTGGACCCGTTCGGTCGCTTTCGCGCAAGCAACATTGATTTACGCGGAGTAACAATCCACACAGCGGCCACAGGGCCCGAACGAAGCCAACCTCGAAGCCTCTGAAGGAGGTCACACTTCGAATCGTGCTTGCAATCGACCTCAAAGGCCACAACTCCACCGCGGCTCACACGCCGCCACGCCGCTGAGAGGTGGCCCGACACGCTGAACACTTCCAGGAACACTGGTCGCCCGCTCCTCTCCACGAACGGAGCCAGATGCTGAAGGGGCAATCGCCAATAGTCTCGACCAGGAGTGCGGCTCGGCGCTGCACGGGGCGGGCCAGCCTGCGAACTCGCTCGGCGATCCTGCCTTCCTGGGTGCACCAACTGAAGGAAGATCTAGCCTCTCTAGGTCCAGCGCCCTCGTGGTGCAGCGGACCACAAACGCCCACAGGTCGTAGCCCAACGTGAGCAGGCGCCGGCAGGGTGCCATCCGCGCTCGGCGGGCCTGTAGCAGAGACGCCAGCCACGGATTCAGCGGGCTGTCGACACGAGGCCCATCGTCGCAAGCCTCCGTCTTCGACGGCTGCAGGCACACCATGGGGCGCGAGACCTCCGACCAGTACGAGAGGATGGCCTGCTGAGGCGGAGCGCCCACGTCCAGGGGGGCCATCTGCTCGCGCATCAAGCCCAGCATCTTGGCGGGGCAAAGGCACAGACCGAAGCAGATCGCGGCCGCTGCCGTCGCAGCGGCCCCCCCCGACCGCAGGATCCAATCGATCAACGGGAACGGGATCGGCCAAGGGGGCGACGGCCGCGAGCGCGGCCGTCGCCCAACCCTCCCCAACCCTCCGCCGTTCGGGAAGCCGTCGGTGAACGATCACGGTCACGCGCAGCATCGCCTCCTCGCACGGGATGCCGTCGAAGAACAGCACGTTGAGGAAGGTCGCCGGGACTGCGCGGGTCGCGAGCGCATCCAAGGTCGGCAGCTGCGCCGTCGTCGTCCAAGCCACGAACCTCGTCCTCCGCGACTCGCAGTCGCGGTGAGTCGCCTCGCCCACGGCCCCCGCCCCCAGCAAGGCCAGCGTGCTGCTCGGGGCCTCCGTCAGCGCACCCGGGACGGCCAGTCGGCACGCAGTGCGCCAGGCGGCTTGGCCCCCCGGGCCAGGTCCGTCAAGGCCCAGGGGCGGCCGGAAAGGCGAGGGCCGAGCTGCCTGGCGAACGGCGTCGGCGGCGCGGCCGCGGGCCGTCGGCGCACCAGTCCAGCCGGCCCTGACGCTGCAACTCGGGCCATCGACCGCTCGAGCACACCAGGCCGCGGGACGCGCCGCTGGGCGGCCCCGCGAGGCTGGGCCGGCTGAGTTGAACTCAGACGGCAGCCAGCGCCAGCGCGCAGCGGAGCCCGAGGTTAGCAGCGAGCATGCCACCTGCCGGCAAGCGGCCAGCAGCGCCAGGGCCGACGAGCGACCCTTCGACAGATCCAAAATGGTCGCCATAGCATCGTTCATCCGAAAAGCCTTCGAGGAGCGGAGCTTGTGCTGGAGCCCCATCACGCCGGAGCGGGCCTCCAAGATCACTCGAGGAGCGGGGCGCCCCCAGGGCAACGAGAGCACGGGATGCCAGCCGCCCCTCCAGCTCTCGACGGGGACTTCCTCGAAGTCGACAGCCACTGAATCATCTTGCAAGGCGTCCGCTCGAGGCCCAAGTTGACGACGCTCACCCTCCTTCGAGAACCTCCAACGCTCATTGATCCTGGCAGGCCTCCTCACGGCCTCCTCTGGGACGCCCCGCTGAGTGACCCCGAAGCCCCAAGATGACGCGTCTATGCGCGCACGAGCGGCGTCGAAGGGCAGCCCGAGGTTCCTGCTGCAGAAGACGAGGGGCGCACGGGCCCACCGAAGCTCACGTCGTACGACTGGCCATGCTCGGGCGACGCGACCCTTGCGCACCTCCCCGAACTTGTAGACAGCCCCGAGACGCCAGAGGAGCTCCCCCACGATGAAAACCCCGGAAAAAACGCGATACGATACGAACCATTTGTTTCCCAGAACAATACCCACGACGAAATATCTCCTGCATCCCAAGTAACAACTTCCACCGAAGCCTGGGGTTGAGCGACATCACGGGCGAGTCCGGATCGAAGGCCCAGCCCAGAGTCTCCCCCCCCCACACCACTCTCAACCCCGTGGGCAAGGAGTCCGACTGCACGCAGATATTCGTCAACCTGAACGGCAGCAGCGGCAGCAGACTCACAAGACAGCGACAGTGCAACGAAATTGTCGACATACTCGATGAACTATGCCCGCGTCGATGACAGGAGCGGGAGCACGATCCACCAGCACCCGGCCAGACGTAACAAGAGCGGCGCGTCGAACGACAATCTCATTCAACGACTGACACAACCAGAAGCTAAGGCTGAACCCCAACGGAGGCCATCTGAAACAGGGACACACCCACTGGCTCGGAGAGAGACAACGCCCGGTCGCCGCGACCGAAATATCCAACTCGCCTGCACGGATACGAGAGAGGCCAGAGGCACCGACGCAGCCACGGTGGTAACAGCACGGTGTAGGATGATTCGGCACAGTCTACGCCTCACACGCACAGGCTGTTGACTGCCAACTCTGGGCTCAGAGAAAGCGGCCCCTGTGGCAAGTCTCACCATTGGAGGATCGTCGAACAGCTGCGATGGGAACCCCCCCATCGAGAATCAATCGTACAGCTCCAGACTTCTTGCACACAAAGAACACCCCCGCCGTGCTCAAGGCTTCGGAGTGGAAATCGGCAATATTTGACGACAAAAGACGCTGCACAACTTTCTTGTACAAAGAAGGGTTCTTGAGGAGATTGGGGCCCGAATACGCCCGCTTCGGAGCTTGCTCTGCAACCCAGGCGAGCCTCCGCTCACGGGGCAGCAGTAGTTCTCGAAGGCGATGACCAATGCTCACGCTGTCGTCCCCGATGAGATCTGGCAGGGGCAGAGGCTCAGAGCCAGCCTTCGGCAGGGAGATCAGATCGACTCGATCCAAGGTCACCGGCACCATCACGGCGGACTCCTGGTCGCATGATTGCGCAACGCGGAGCTCCTCAAGGGTTCCTGCGGGCGCCGGGTCAGGCAGAGGCACTCCGATGGCGTCGACCGCCTCCTGGATCACAGCCAGAGCCCCCTGTTGTGCGGCCGTAGGAGTCGTTTGCCCCGTCGGCCGTGGACAGCTCAAGCCAGTGTACATCTCGTTCAAAGCACGGACGGCGTCAGACACTATCTTCCGGCGGCGGTTGGCTCGATGGGGCCGCCTCTTGGTAGTTCAAGAGAGGTCTGAAACTGCAAGACTATGACCAGAAGCACCAGGAACAGGGAGTGGAAATGCATCCCGATGCCGACGCCGTGGACCGGATCGAGCCCCAAGTACATCTGCTTCGCGGGAGGGCGAAACCGCGAAGCCCCCTTGATGATAGCCGAAGGCAGGCGGGGTGGCTGCCTCCGGGTCCCCGTCCGTCATGGCGGCGGAGCGCGACGCTCCTCCTCGGCTTTCCGCATCTGCCCAGTGCCCACAGCGTCGCGCTCCACGTGTCTGATCTCCTGCTCCAGGAGCGCAGGCGCAGCCATCAGATGGCCGTCCTCGCGGGCGGTGCCGGTGAAGCCCCCGATCACGCCGAGGAACCCGAACTTCAGGAGGCCCGCACCACCACGAGGCTTCGGCCCGCTCGTGGCCTTCGCACTCGCCGCGCCATCGCCAGCAGCTGAGGGCCCACAAACAGCGTCTCTCGCTTCGCACACACTGGCTCACATGCAGTCATACGGCAGAGCCTGTCGCGGCATCTCTCAGCATCGCACGGCACACGGGAGCCAGGTCGAGGTAGACGACAACTGTTCGGGGACATCACGGGCGAGAGCACGCTCGCATACTCGCGCATCTAAACCCAAACGACTACGCAAGCAAATTCCTGAAGAGGAGGGCGGAAGGACGAAGGGAAAGAGGGGGGCCCCGCGAAGACCTTCTCAGGGGAGAAGGGGGCAGCGAACCAAACTTTGGCGGGCCGAAGGCCATCCACGACTCAAAACGCACAACGGGCGCGACTCCTGGGTGCCTGGGTGTCGGGAGCGTGGCGCTTGAGCAAATTGCAAGAAATTCCAACGCAAGGGCGCTATTCTTCAGTAAGTTGCAAGGAAGTCTCCAGCGAGAGCGCGACTCCAGAGCGCCGGGAGAGCGATTCCTGACTAAATTGCAAGGAAGTCCCAAGCGAGAGCGCGATTCCTGAGTAAAATGCGAGGAAGTCTCAGGCGGGAGCCGTTGTTGTTGTAACCCGGGGGCCAGGGGCCCAGTTTGAGCATCAAGACTTTCCTTGTTAAAAAACAGGGTGCGAGCGTCGAGGGGCACACTTTGAATGAGAAAAAACAGTATGCACCAGTGGGGGGGGGATCAACAATAATTATTGTTCAGAAATGAGAGTTCAACAACAACAACAACAACAACAACAACAACAACAACAACAACAACAACAACAACCACAACAACAACAACAACAACAACAACAACAACAACAACAACAACAACAATCATTTTACCCGAACGCTCAGTGTTCTCACCAGTGCCAGGGTTTTCATGCGACGCGAGACAATACCCCCACTTCGTGGGGGGGCAGTTCAAGCTCTACCAAATATCCAAACGACTCTTCGCGACCACCCAAACCCAGCTTCCCGCCCTATGACGTTGGGACACTTCACTTCGTGGCGTGCGGACGACCGTGGCTACTACACTGGCGTGGGGTACACACCCACAGAACTTGGTCACTTATTCGGGGCGCGCGTGTGCCCAGCATCCTGCAATTGTGACATACAATACATGACACAGACAGACAGAGAGAGAGACAGAGAGCAGACAGAGAGAGAGACAGAGAGAGCGGAGTTGGTCACATTTTTGGGGCAAGTTCCTGAGATCGTCGTGTTTTTTGTTGGTCTTGCGCGCGCGAATGTCCACTTTACTTTTTTTTGCAAGGGAGTATTGAAATTTGATTATGTTAGAACAAGAAAAAGTAGCTCGCGCGAGCTCATGTAACATAAATGTTGAAAAACCATTGGTTTTGTGGGAGTCGGACAGCGCGCGCGGGATGAAATTTGGACATTTTTTTTTGAAAAACCATTGGGTTTTTGATGTTTTTATGTTGAAATCGTTACGAAACCTAAGGTTCTGGAAGGATTTCGTCTTGCGCGCGCGAATGTCCACTTTACCTTATTTTTTGCAAGGGATTATTGAAATTTGATTATGTTAGAACAAGAAAAAGTAGCTCGCGCGAGCTCATGTAACATAAATGTTGAAAAACCATTGGTTTTGTGGGATTCGGACAGCGCGCGCGGAAGGACATTTTGACAATTTTTTCTTTAAAAAACCATTGGGTTTTTGATGTTTTTATGTTAAAATCGTTACGAAACCTAAGGTTTTGGAAGGATTTCGTCTTGCGCGCACGAATGTCCACTTTACCTTATTTTTTGCAAGGGATTCTTGCAATTTGATCAAGTAAGAACAAGAATTTTCATTTTATAGTGTTTTTTGCAAGGGAAAACGGACTACAACAAAACAACCGGATCCGGTACTAATCCACTTTTCTGAAGCTTTCGCGAAAAAATAATGAAAATGTAGCTGCGGCCTAGGTTTTGGAGGGGGGTCGCGCACCAGGGGCCCCAACAATAATTATTCTTAAGAAGAAATAATGTTCAACAACAACAACAACAACAACAACAACAACAACAACAACAACAACAACGACAACGACGACGACGACGACGACGACGAAAACAACAACAGCAATAATAACAACAACAACTACAACAACAACTACTACAACTACAACTACAACTACAACTACAACTACAACTACAACTACAACAACAACTGTGTCCCCACTTCTCATCCCAGAAATCCAAAAACATCGAAATTGAAACACATGGTTCCCGCACTCCTGACATTGCAAACCTTATTTGTTCACAGGGATCTTTCGAATTTCTGAAATCAGAAATGAAGAAACCATGCTTTTCACTTGGATGTTTGGGATGTTTGGGATTATGGTGATCGGAGCTCCTGGGAGGGCTCCTGGATTTGACGTTCCAAGGGATGACAATCCCCCCAAGAAAAAACTCAAAAGCTCAAAAAGAGGAGGAACAAAATGAAAACACATGGTTTCCTCACTTCCCACCTGGGAAATCTCACAAGTCCCCATGAAAGCACCGGATTTCCGTACCCCTGACATGGCAAACCTTCTGAATCAGAGATTGTGCTGGGCATTTGGGAGGAAGAGAGAGAGAGAGAGAAGCAGATTCCAGATCCAGCTGATTACACTTACATTCTTACTGGAATACAAATGAAATCAAATTGGGGTGGAGCGGATCCCAGATTCAGCTGATTTCAACTTGATTCCCATTAGAACCGAATGGAACCTAACTAGAAATTGAGCGAGTCCCAGATCCATTTGATTCGGATTGAATTCCTATTAGGATCTCAGTATTGGAATTGAGCAGGCCCAGGTCCAGCTGATTCCAGCCAGCTGCATTCCGACTAGAATAGAATTGAAATGGAACAGATCCCAGATCCAGCTGATTCGAAGTTGATTCCTATTGGAATTGAATTACAACTTAACTGGGATTGGGCACACCCCAGATCCAGCTGAGTCCGATTTGGATTCTTATTGGGGTATACCTAGACAACTGCCGGATCTCAGATCCAGATGATTCTAAATATATTCCTATTGGAATCGAATTAAAATCTTAGTGGAATGGAGAAGATCCCAGATCCAGCTGGTTCCCATTTTTTTCAGATTGGAATCGAATTAGAATCTCATTGGAATGGAGCAGATCCCAGATGCAGCTGTTACACATTGGATTCCTATTGGAAAGATTTAAAGTGTAACTCGAATTCGGCAGATCTCAGATCCAGCTGCTTCGATTCGGATTCCGATTAGAATCGAATTATCATCGAAGCGGAACTGAGCAGATCCTAGATCCAGCTGACTACAGTTAGGTTCCTATTCGGATTCAAACAGAATCGGAGTGGGTTGAAGCGGATCCCAGGTCCAGCTGATTCCCATGTGATTCCTATCAAAATATAAAGCTGCGCGGGTCCCAGATCCAGCTGACTCCAATTAGATCCCGGCACGATAAAACAACGGACAAATGATGAATAGGAAAGATGGGTGAGCAGACACCTCTGAAAAGGAGGCAGATGATCAGTGAGAGTACGAATGAAGAGATACACGGCAGATGCAAAATGAATCGGTGCTGGGGGGGCTGCGCAGATGTGCACATAAATATATATATATATACACACAAACACACATATGTGTATATATACACATACATCATTCAGTCATTCATTCATTCGCTCACTCATACATACATACATACATACATACATACATACATACATACATACATACATGCATGCATACATACATACATGCATACATACATACATACATACATGCATACATGTGTACGTGTGTGCAAACGTTCTTCAAAACGGAGATACCGCTGGTCACCTCGTTGATCTACACAGGCATACCTTGTCGCATCCCTGGCTACACGCTAGAGGAACGCCATACACTCCTTTTTCAGGGTCCAGCCTGAACGACAGGTTCATCGGGTGTTGAACATTCAAGAGGCACTGGACGTCAGGGTGTACTGCAACATCGTTGACACATCTTGGGTGTACTCTCGTCCTGCTCCGCCTCCTTCTCCTCCTCGTCCTCCTCATCCTCATCCTCATCCTGCTCCTCTTCCTCCTCCTCTGCCCCCTCACCGACCCTCCAACACTGGCAGAAGCGGCGAAGGAGATATGTGCATCTCCACAGAAGAGGAATAGTCCCAGCGGAGCTGCCGAACAGACAACACGGCGTTTGTGGCCGACCCAAAGCCTGAAAGGATGCATTATTTTTTGTGCAAGCACATCGCACGTGCCGCGAGTTCGTCCCCGTTGAAGGTAGGACCGCAGACACACCACACATCAATGGGCAGGCATCATGGAGTATCCACTGGAAACGGAGATTGGCGCACTGAGCGCAACGGAGGCGCCAGTACACCCATGACAACTGCATGCCTGAGAATATGGCTGCACGCACAAGGCATTAGCATGACTGAGATAACTGCATCAGATCAAAAGGCTGAATCAAGACGTACACCAGCTCGCTCTTCGCGAAGCGCATCAAGTCTCTTGAGATCGTCCGATCAACGAGCGAGCAAATGCTGCACGACGCATCGATGCGACTATCGTAAGTAGACTTCACACCGGGTGGAACATGCGGTCTCTCTCGGACTTCCAGCATAAACGCTAAACCACTTCGGTTCTTCCTCAATATGAGGAATGTCATGTGATCCACAAGCGGATCGAACGGTTCTGCCACAAAGACAGCATGCACAGTGGACATCACACCCTATGGGTGTTCGTAAAGATTTGGCATGTGGCTGCGATCAAATTCACCCCACCTGCTTCCGAAGAAGCTGCTGGCTGAGCAGAGCAGAGGGATGGCCGACGAGACGGGAGACGCTCAGAAGGCGGCAAGGCGAATAGATCGGGTCAGAACGTTCCCAGGAAACACGTGTTAAGTGGGCTCCCCTCACACGGCTATCTGGGAGGCAGACGAGCCTTGAACATCGATGACATGGAGAGAAGGACACAGAAATGAGCAGAATTCCGGGAAAAAATAAATCCTCCCTCCTCGATTCTCCTCCGACCTCCGATCTCGTGATATGTCCACCAGGTGGGCTCCCGAAGCTTCCGACACCATCCCACGGGCGGGTTTCCCGCTATAAGCCGCTGCTGTACGGCCCAGCAAAAAAAAAACTCACACGCGAGCGATCTCTGATGGCGCGGGACAACACGAGAACAAACTGTGAACGGCCACGCGCCGAGACGTGTGTCTGCAAACAGAATGTCAACAGCTGTGACGACGTGGGATCCCAGGACATCCAAAAAAAGCAGGAAACGTCAAGCGAGCAGCAGGCAGCCGGCAGGGAGGAGGGAGGGCACAGGGAAGACGAGGGAGGAGGGCAGGGCGAGCCCGAGATCTGACGACGTGGAAAAATAGAACGTGGCAACACAAATGAGAGAAACCATAACGGAAAACCACACAAACAATCACAGCATAACAACAAACAACAAACAACAACAACAACAACAACAACAACAACAACAACAACAACAACAACAACAACAACAACAACAACAACAACAACAACAACAACAAAAACAACAACAACAACAACAACAACAACAACCACAACCACAACCACAACAACAACAACAACATCATCAACAACAACAACAACAACAACAAAACAACAAAAACGACGACGATACCAACAACAACAACAACCGACAACAACAACAACAATAACCGACAACAACCGACAACAAGAACTATAACAATAACAACAACAACAACAACAACAACTGGAGAGTTCATCTGTCTGGGACGCTTGTCCAGACAAATCGACCTGCGAGGGCCCACAAGCCAGCAGTGGGGCCAAAGTGGTCCCAACGGCTTTTCCACGACTGCACTCAGAGCTGTCGCTGGACCCTGTCCGAAGCCGATCTTGGCCCAATTTCTCAGCCGCGCGACGACGCGGCGACAAAAGAGCCATCCGAGAGCTTCAACAAAAGAGAGAGGAAGGGGGACGAAACGAATAGAAAAGTGGAAATGAACTGGACTAGTGGGGCGGCGTGTCTCCGACCATCATCGCAGCTGGTTTCTACTGCAGGCGGCGACTCTTCAGAGCGGGGCCCGAGGGGCGCTGCAGCAACGGGCATGCCTCCACAGCAGGCCCCCGACGTAGAGGATGATAAGCCTCCCGCCCCCGCACTCTTACTCCTCCTCCTCCTCCTCCTCCTCCTCCTCCTCCTCCTCCTCCTCCTCTCTGTTTCTTCTTCTTCTTGTTATTATTAATCGTTTTCTTATTAGTCTTATTATTCATGTTGTTATTGTTATTGTTATTAGTGTTATTCGTATCAGTATTGTTATTAGTAGTCTTCGTATTATTAGTATCATTATTAATATTATTATTAATACTAATAGTTTATTCGTATTATTAGTATTAGTCTTATGGTTGTTCTTATCATTATTGTTATTATTCTTCTTATTTTTAATATTCTTCTGGTTCTTATTATTGTTGATATTATTATTCTTCGTTTTGACTATTCATATTTTTTTTTCTCTTCGTAATTTTCTGAAAACAATTATTATTGTTATTACTATTAATATTATTATTCTGCGTATTATTATTATTCTTATTATTGTTAGTCTTGTCATTATTCTTATTATCTTTAATATTAATAGTATTCGTATGTTTCTTATTATTATTCGCATTATTCTTATTACTCGTATTATTATTAGTATGCTTCTTATTATTATTATTCGTACTATTTTTTATTATTATTCTCCGTATTCTTCTTATTATTATTATTAATATTGTTATTCTTATTCCTCCTCCTCCACCTCCTCCTCCTCCTCCTCCTCCTCCTCCTCCTCCTCCTCCTCCTCCTCCTCCTCCTCCTCTTATTCTTATTATTAATAATATTATTATTATTGTTCTTATTATTATTATTATTATTATTATGATTATTATTATTATTATTATTATTAATTATTAATTATTCTTTGTTTTTCTTCGTCCTCTTCGTCCTCCTCCTCCTCCTCCTCCTCCTCCTCCTCCTCTCCTCCTCTTCCTCCTCCTCCTCCCTCCTCCTCCTCCTCTCCTCCTCCTCCCTCCTCCTCCTCCTCCTCCTCCTCCTCCTCCTCCTCTTCCTCCTCCTCTTCCTCTCCTCCTCCTCTCCTCCTCCTCCTCCTCCTCCTCCCCTCCTCCTCCTCCTCCTCCTCCTCCTCCTCCTCCTCCTCCTCCTCCTCCTCCTCCTCCTCCTCCTCCTCCTCCTCCTCCTCCCCCTCCTCCTCCTCGACCGTAGCTGGGGCGACGAAGTCTGGATCAATCGAGCCGGTGGGCGGGCGACGTGATGCCGCGTCAGCCAGAGGAGAGCTGCCAAGCCCCTCTGCGTGAGTAATTCGCCTGCTGTCCGAAATACGTTATGTAGGAAGTATGCATAGACTGTGATCAGCAGACTATTGCGAGAAGGACTCACAAGACCAACGCGCTGCATTGGGCACTGTGGGGGCTGGGAACGAAACAGTGGAGAGGAGACGCAGGAAATGGGGACAAGACCAGACCTGGGCAAACGAATGCTGAGCAGCACATCCGAGAGGGCATCGCCGCTGTTACTGAAAACTTGAAGCCGTGATCCACCCGCCCACGAGAGTCTTGATTATGCTGCCACGCCAAAAGGGAGGGAGGAACGGACTTCAGATCACATGATTAGGGCAACGGTAGGAGCCGAGCTGGGGAATCGCCTCGAGAGCCCGCTGATGAGGAGGTCCTGGAGCGCGTCAGGGAAGATGAGAGAGTGGATAGCCTGGGAAAGATGACGATGATGATGAAGAGCTTGAACAGCAATCTGTGGTTCGGCACGTTGAATACGTTTGCGTCGTTGGAGGGCTTGAGGACCATGAGGGTGAAGACGCTTGACCTGGGGGAAACCTTCACTCGCCTAGGAAAGAGTCGAGGCAACGGCTGGTGACTGCCACCAGCGCGGCCACAACTGCTGGCGTCTGACTCCGTCGGCCCACGTCCGACACGAGACCAGCTGAACGTGCGGGAGGGCGCCACGTGCGCATTCGTATAACACCTCAAGCATGGGGGGCCACGTGTCAAACGTGAAAAAATCGCACGCAAGATCAAGGCAATGTTCAAACTTCGAACGCTCTGGATCCGAGGCCCCCCACACACACACACACACGATGAAGATTGGGCCACCCCTGCTCGTTCACTCTGAAACAGGGCATCTGGAAGACAGAGGTTAACAGAGCATGCTCGCGCTTGCAGCGGCGGGGGAGGAGCAACGGGAAGTGACCGACACAGGAGAGGACAGAGAGGGCACGACGCGCATACACGCTGGCGGCCAGCTCGGAGGGAGCGCCCTCTTCACCGATCACGCGGGCACGGCTGCAGTTCTTCTTGACAGGGGCTTCCCACGAGGTCTCTCGGGCCACCGCGGGGCCTAACCAGAGGCCCAGGTAGAGGGCCTTGTGGGGCGATCTCAAAGGGTTCCCAGTGCCCGACGTGTCTGCTGACCTCGGCTGCATACCGGGCGGCTATCAGTTCGCTGAAATCGTCGGCAAGAGGGGCAACCTTACACTTGGCAACCTCGAGGGAAAGATATGCCAAGCGCTGCGCCTCGGCGAAAACATGGGAGCCTGCGCACGTCGCGCAACCTGTACAGAATGGCGCAAATGTCGTCGGCACACGCTCGGATGAGCCCGCGGCCCCTCGCCCCCAGGAGGCCGCAAAACATGTTGATGGAAGGGTCAGCCCCGAGCGCGGAAAGCGCCCCGCTGGCTGGACACCCCTGGGCGACCCCGCTGGCCATCCAAAAAAGGATAAGTTCGACCCCGCCAAGAACCTATAAACATGACATTGGTGTAGAGGTCCAGGGAGGGGAACGGGCGGGCACAGACGACGGATCACGAAAAAGAGCCACTCTTGGGACATGGAGGGGAAGGCTAGGCCGAAGTCGAAGCACATGAGGGCGGCGAGGAGAGGGCGGGGGTCGCCCATCATGCTGGCTCGACGCCCGCAGGCGTCAAGCTCGATAATAGTGTCCCCGAAGTTGCGCGAGGGGACAATGCCTGGCTGGGCCTCGCCCGGGCCACTCGGCAACGCGCGGGTGATGGGGGCGACCCGAAACCCCCGTGATCAAAGTGTTATCACAGCTTGTCAAGCCGAGCGGGCGCGCGTCGGACGGGCGGCGGACACCCTCGGGGGCGCCAGGGGGGCTCGATCCTTCGCGGGCGAAGATCCATGATATATCCGCGCAACAGACTGTGGCCAGGGCGAACCCAGCGCACCGAATTGAAAAGGACACTCGGGCCGCGCGGGGCGTTCATCCAGGCACAGCAGGGGGGCCGATCGGGACCAGGGGCACTGCGGGTCTGGACAGCAAGGTTCTTTTCAACATCTCGGAAAAGGGGGGGAAATACCACTACGTACCATAGCGGGAGGGGAAGCATCCAGGAAGTCGGCGCTCTCGCGGTGGAACTCCTCAGCAGCGAAGATCAGGGCCCAGTGCTGGGCGAGAGCGCCGAGGATCGCAGCGGGCCGTCGGACCGCGCCCCCAGAGTCGCAACGAACCCCCGCGCGCGCCACGCGTCGATCAGAAGCCGACCGGAGCTGCGCAAGACGGGCAAGCCTACGAGAGCGGGCGACGAAGCGATAGATCGCGTTGGGATTCTGCAGCCGCTGAGCACTCGCCTGCAGGGAACGTCGAGTTGCTTCGCGAACGTGGAGGCGGAGGTTGTCGGAGAGGCTGGCCAAGGAAAAGGGGTCCTGGAGGGGGGTCTCGTGGGAGGAGTGGTCGAGGATCATGTGCTCCCTGCAGAGCTGGCGCGAGCGGTAAAGCTCGCGCGCTAGCAACCAGTCTTGCCTAAAGACCGCTCTCGCCACGCCTCTGACCACCAGGCATTGAGCTGGTTTGGACTCAGGCCTCTTTCATGATTACTAGGTCCCGAGCGCGACGACCGGCCTCAATAATCAAAAACTCGTGACATTCGTGAGCCAGGGCGGCCGATAGATGGTCAAACGGGGGGGGGGGGGCGCCCCCCACCGCCCCGCCGAGAAAATCGCGACACTTAACCGACTAAAAGATGGCTTTCGGCGCAGGTCGGTCCCCGGGGGGGCGGGGGGTCCAATGCAGATCTGCGCCAACACAGGGGCATGGTCCGACTGGCCCCGGGCGCCCACTATGTCGGGGCGTCAAGAACAGCCCCTCCCGAAGCGCATCGAGGGGGAATCCAACCAGGCAACGAGGAGAACACCCGATCGATAAACCCCAGGGGCCGAGCGGCACTGCCGAAGAAGGCAGGCGAGAATAGCTCGAACTCAACTGCCGAGGCGAGGGCGCCCCTCCAGTTGGTGGCGGGGGGGAGGGGGGGCACCCAGAGAGGCGGAGCCCCAATTCGAGGGGTCGCAGGGGAAGGGCCCGCGAGATGAAAGGTTCAGATCCCCAGCGACGAGACCCAACCTATTTAGCGGGTCATCCTGGGCCTCGCGAAGCGCTGCCGTGAGCTGGCCGAGGGGCAGCGTCGACTCCAGCGTCGACATCCCAGCGTTGCGAATGTTAAAGTGCTTCGCCCAACACTCACCATTTGCTGCCCGACAGCTGGCCAGTAGAGCCCTTCCAGGAACAATCGGAGCGGAGGCGACAAGAGGGAGGGGGCTGCCAGTCATTGTCTCGCGCGCACTGGGCCGCTTAAAGAAAGCGAAAAGGGCGGTCGCGCTTGCTGCGCGAAATTCCCGATCAAGAGAATACGAAGCCTGGAAGGGGGGTGGCAGGAGTGGAGGAGGTCGAGGATGTCGCACGGCGCTCCGCGCGCTTCCTGGGAGGCGATGGTTGTGCAAGCCTGTAAAAGTCCGCGCGAAGTCTTGACGTTGCGCACTCGCTCGGCGTCGCAGTGGCAGAGCAGCGCGTGGGCATCCCACGTTGCGACACGGAGGCTGAAGGCGCTGGGATTCTCATTCCGCTCAGAAGCGTCGCGCCACAGTGCGCCTAGCCTGCCGGCAGCGCCACTGGGGCGGCTCAGGCGCGCCAAGCTCCGGGGCGAAGGCAGCGCGCACCCTGGCCACGTCTATGGCCTCGCCACGCATGTTTTGTTCGGCTCAGCATGTCGACGGCATCTCCTGACCTTCAACGGGGCTGATCTGCAAGATGGGCTCCCAGCCCACGGGGACCTCGCCCTTCTGCTGGT